TTTTTTTTTTGAAAACTGTAAATAATGACCAAATGGCAAAAATAATAATTAGTTGTTGTAGTGTTCATTTTAAAAGGTTTTATTTAAGCTTTTTAAGACAGCCAGGATTTTGTCTGTTCATACACACAGTCAGAAAAACTTCTAAATTTAAACATATTCAGGTATGAAAACATTGAAAAATCACTGATTTGTGCGTACACACTGTCAGTAAGTAAAGCCAATGAGATGACCACAATAGTTATTGTTGCTGAAGAACAGGATTTAGATACACCACGGGTAAATATCAGAGCTCACCTGTGAGATGACGTCATGGAGGAATTCCCTCTAACTTTGAGCAACAGCAAAGTGAAGGATATCATCATCATCAGAGCTCATAATTTTTCTGGTTATAGAGCCTCCTTCCACCTTGTTACATTTCTATTTCTATTTACTTAATTACCAAAAAAAAAGAGAAAAGGGTAAAAGATTAATTTATAGCTAATATTGTTATTTTGAGTTCTTTTGGCCTCCATAATCGGACTGTGGAACGTGTACTATGAGAACACCTTCAGTGAACCGTTTCCTGTTAAGTTTGGGGTTTTTTCAATCTGGTTTTTCTTGTTTTTCTCGTGCAGAACGAAGTCATCCAGGCTCTGCCCAAACTTATCAAACTGAACCCGATTGTAGTGAAGGAGGTCTTTAACAGGCTGCTGGGGACTCAGCACAGTAAGAGCCCTTCATCACTTTTCTGTCTCGTCTACCTCCTGTGGTGGACTGAGATTTGACTTTTTTGTGTTTTGCAGGTGAAGGGAGTTCCTCCGTGTCCCCGCTCACTCCAGGCGACCTCCTCATCGCCTTGCACAACATAGACTCAATCAAATGTGACATGAAGTCCATCATAAAAGGTCAGTGAGTCCTCAAACATGACGTGTCGGTCGTGGACAAACAAACTGTTGTCAGCGTTTAATCTTCAGCATCTGCCCGACAGCTACCAACCTCTGCTTCGCCGAGAAGAATGTGTACACATCTGAAGTTTTGGCGGTGGTGATGCAGCAGCTGATGGAGCAGAACCCCCTCCCCATGCTGCTCATGCGCACTGTCATCCAGTCTCTCACCATGTACCCCCGACTGGGCGGCTTTGTGATGAACATCCTCTCCCGCCTCATCGTCAAGCAGGTCAGCAACACTTTGATCTTGCAGGAAACCAGAGAAGATCATCTGCTGAAGCTAATCTTCTTCCTATTATTTCGCCCTGCAGGTGTGGAAGTATCCAAAGGTGTGGGAGGGATTCGTGAAGTGCTGCCAGAGGACAAAGCCGCAGTCGTTCAGCGTGCTCTTACAGCTGCCGCCCGCTCAGCTCACGAGCGTGTTCGAGCGCTGCCCGGAGATGAGGGCGCCTCTTCTGCAGCACGTCCACTCCTTCACGCCTCACCAGGTGACAGCTGCTTCCACATTTACACACCTCTGAACATTTTACTTCACCCTGAACTTCCATTTCAACCCACTTTCTTTTTTTTCTCTCTGTGTACATAGCAAGCGCACATCCCCGGGTCCATCATGGCGGTCCTGGAAGCAAATAAAAAACCAGAGCCGAAGCCTGCAGAGCCGGTCGTAGAGACAGATGTAACAGATCAAGAGCTACAGGTGATTTTTGAATGTCTTGAATTAGGGCAGTTTATAAACATATTGGCCATCGCCAATCTGTAAAAATTACATTTCCATCCAGCACTGCTTCTTTATTTCTGGTCAGCTAGCTTTTACCTCTTGGCTCCATTATCTCAATAATGCAATTAACGTGACATCTTCCTACAGATGGAAGCAGCTCCAGCTCCTTCAGTTGTAGAAGAGGCACCAAAAGAGCCAGAAACAACAGTCCAGCTGGAGCCCGTCACTCAGAAAGATGAAGAAGAGCCGATGGAGCAAGAAGAGTCTGAACCAGCAATACAGGAAGAGACACTTAATATCTCACAGGTAAAAAGGAAACTACGACAAGTTAAAGGCTTTAAAAGCGGCTTCAGCACCAGAGTTAATTTAGATTGCAGATAATACAAAAGGTCGGATGTTTGAGGTTTTAAAGTAAATATAAACTGCTGTGAATTGAGGATTTATTTTTATTGTAGTGCATAACTGAATTCAAGTTTGGTTAAAACTGAATGTAAGAAAGCAAAATTTTATTTAAGAGCACAAAGGAAACCTTGTTGCTTGCTTCCAAAAAACAAGCAACAATGAAAAACATCTAAAATAAAAGGAGTGCTAATAAAAAAAATAAAGATCAACAAAAGTCCTGAAAAATAAAATAAAACATGCATATAAAACATAAAATTCATTAAAAAAAAGCAAAAATCTGGTAAAATAATAACTAGAACAGGAAGTAGACCACTGAAAAGGCTAAACAGGAATACCAGCTGTAACTTACTTACAACTCCAGCTCTGGAAAGTCATAAAATTTAGCTCAAATAACCAGGAGTTCTAAAAGTTTGAACGTAGAAAGTTAATATCATCCTGTATATATTCTGAAAGTGTGTCAGCAGAGCTTAAATAATCAAGTTACAGTGAAGTATACAGTTGAGTATCATCGGGATAGTTTCAGTAACACACTTCTTTTAAGTTAAACTGTAGTGGTCCTACAGTTGAACCCTGTGGAATACCACATTTCCATGAGCTAAAATTTGGAAAATGAAAAGCTAAAATCACAGCATTAGCTAAGATAAAATCCAATCCAGTGCTAATCCAGAAAAAGACACTCTGGCACTGTCACAATTTAATCTCATGTCTTTAATAACTGACGGTGATGTTTCTTTGCTGTGGCTGGATTCTTAGGGCCCTGCATGCCATTCATAGGTAGTCGTTTAATGCTTTTGATTTTCTCCAGGTGGAGTCGGAGGCTGAGACCCTCCAACTCCAGGTGGAGTTGGAGGCTGAGACCCCGGTACCTGAACCAGAACCAGTAGAGGAGCCAATGGAGGAATCTCAGCCCGAACCTTCAGAGGAGCCAGAGCCCGAAAAAGACACTGAAGCTGATGACGTCACAAAGGAGGCCGGAAACACCAGCGAGGATGTAGAATAAGGATGCACTCAGTTTTCAGGATTTATGTTTTGTATTTTGTATTTGTAGGAAGAATATCAGCTCATTTTGTGTATGAAAGCATTCCACGTCATAATAAGTTGGTAAATAAATCAGCACACTGGTTTAACGTAAGTTTTGACGCCGTTCAATTACTGATCAATGTCATAAATCTGTAGTGCACCTCCCACAGTCCAAAGACATCCATTTGAGGGTTAATTGGCTGTAGGTGTATGTACATCCTCTCTATACACTTCCACTCCAGCTCAAACACATTAAAGGTACTTTCAGTAACCACTTTCTGCAAAATGTAGCTAAAAATTCATTGTTTACCAGTTTGTTTGCTTTTAAAAAAATACATTTAGCTGTTGAATTTTCTCTTTTAGCCTTTATTATGTTTCCTTATGAGGTCTTTTAAATACATGTGTGATTAAATATTGTGGGACCTTTGGGGGAGAATTGAGGAAACATCAACATCTAACATCCACATCTTGATCTCTAAAGAGCTGCATTGGGTGTTTCGATTTAAATAACTGCTGTAGGTAGTGGTTTTGTGGCATAATAAAATCTCTAGAGATCTCTCAGTGTGGGCAGCTGTGCGAAGATGCTTCCAGGCGAAAGCAGAGCTGATGTTTGGATATGCTTTGAAGGTAAAGGATTGAACCACTGCAGTAAATCTAATTGACCACTAGATGGAGACAAATACACAAGTTCTTTATCTGGGTTTGGATAAAAAATTTAATAAAAAATTTCTCACTGGATCTCTGATACAAAAGCATAATGAACTCAGTAGATGTTGAAGTTTATCTCAGCTTAAAACATAAACATTTTACAGACTTGTGATTAACAGGTATTTATATAATGAGCATGTCCTGATTAATCCTCATTTCTGACTCCAGTCATGATCATAATTTAACTGGACTGAATGTTTGATTTAACTCATCAGGAACATGTTTTCGGAAGCCAAAAACCAAAGGGAGACGTGGCTGTCTTCTCATAGACTTCTACAGGATCAGAAGTCTTACAGCGTCTGACGAGTCGCTGCCCCCTGCAGGCCATTAGAGAAAATGTAGCTGGCTTCTCTTTCATGTCTGAGTTTTAAGGTGTAATAAACAGTTGGCTTCATTCTCCTCTGTCCTTTTTGATGTGGTCATCCATGCTGTGAAGATCCTCACACTCCCTGCTTAGAACTCCTCTGTACACCTCGAATCGATGGTTCAGATCTTTCTGAGTGTGGATTTTGAACTTTGACCCTAACGCCCCGTCAGCTGAAGTGACTCCGTAGAAAACCCTACCGATCCGAGAGTGAACGAGGGCCATGGCACACATCACACAAGGTTCCCTCGTCACATAAAGGTCGTACCCGGTGCAAATGTACGGCTGAGTGCCGTTCTCTATCTGGGCCTCCGTTTGAACTGAGCTCGCTGAAGTAAACCTGCAGGCGGGGTAACTGTCAAAACCATAGAACCCACCGCCCTGACTCCGAGCTACAAGGTCGATGACGACCATGACAGCGTGATGAAGAGGGTGCTTGCGTCTGCAGTCGTGGCCGACTGCAATGATCCTCTCCGTCTTTGGGTCGACCACCACAGCCCCGATGGCCTCCATCCCCGCCACGCCTCCTTCTCTGGCTGCAGTCACAGCGGACGCCATGTAGGCGTGTATCCTTTCCTTCTGATGGTGGCTGAAGAGCTCTCCTCTCAGGGCGACTGTCACCTGCTTGTCCTCGTGAAAGGACGTGGGCCAGTGTTGGCTCGCTAACTCAAACTGGGGTCGGGTCAAAGGGGCACGAGCGGGAACCTTAACCACAAAAGGCTCGCCCAACCCGTTGCAATTTATTCCACCTGAGGGCAGCAGAGAGTCAATGCTAACCACCTGCATTTCTGGCACATCACTGACGAGGCACACGAGGACTTCCAGGGGGTGGGGTCTCTCCCTGCACGGCCGCACCCTCTTGACGTGCTGAAGGCTGCTCAGCGGACAGAGGCTGTTCAATTCCCTGACGAGCCGAGATGTCTCCTTCTTGTCGAGGATGGGCGCAGCGTACACCTCCACCAGCTCGACATCCTGCGACTGCTCATCTGACAGGACTGGAAGGGCGACCCAGGAGTCGACATCACACGGCGAGCCTTTCCAGCGCTTCATCGGCGGCTCTGATTTCCCGGTATCGTCCTGTCAGCACATGACAAAACCTTCAGTTACTCATCAAACCTGGCTTCCAGCAGGGACGGAAATCATGTCTCCCAGAAATCATGTTTGCAGGGTTTCCCTCCAACCTTCAATGTTTTAACCTTCTCAGTGTGGTGGGAGTGAAGATAGAGATATTGACATTTTTCCCCATAAATCAAGCCATGTTTATTAAAAAAAACTGCAAATCTTTATTTAATAAATAATTAAAATGAAGATTATTATTATTGATTCAAAACCATCCTCCCAAGTTGAGCTTATGACAAATATAAATAACAGGGAAGTTGCACATTAAAGTAAATATGTAAACACTGCCCCCCGGTGGACAACCTACATATGACATCATCTCCATTATGTAGTTTCTAACTAGGAAACACACCTGTATGCACGTGACAAATTAAAGGTACCGTGAGGGGTTTTGTATTTCTCTTATCTCTCGTTGATCAACAATAAAACATAAAAACTCAAACTGACGTTCATTCACGTTTCTTCATTTAATCAAAACTGTGTTTTTATGGATTCAAACCACCTCGAGTATCTCTGGGTCCACGTTACTCTGATCACCAAAATGTTTCACTCTTTCTGTTTAACTCCCTTTGCGTGGTGGCGTAATAGCCAAAACTTGAAGTCATGCTTTTATGATCAAGTGTTTCACACTGTTGTGGAGGAACTTTGACCCACCCTTTCTTTACAGCGTTGGCTTCAGTTCTCTGGTGTTTGCAGACATTCATTTATGCACAGACCTCTGACACTGCTCACATGCAGCTTTGCTAACCTAAGCCGTGCTGCCATGTTCCTTTTAGAGAGAAAAGGCTTTCTCCAGGTAACCCTTCCAAACAAAGCATATTTCTTCAGCCTTGAACTTTAACCTTTAGCTGCCTGAAGCCGGTTGGGTCCGACATGGAGCTCTTGGATTTTTTTTTCTCCAAGTATTTCTCAGTCTGACCTTGGAGTGAATGTGTTGGGGTATCTACTCCTGGGAAGAGTGTTGGATTGTGTTAACACACCTGAATGCTCCAGACTATAGTTATTCCGAATTCGTGTGGAAGCGATGAGGACATACTGAGTTTTCACAGCACTGTTTCTTCACTTTGGTTCAGTTTTTGTTAAATAATGAGAGTGTAATGTGTCATGTTTTGTTGCTCATCTATTTAAATCATTTTAAGACCTGCTGACACGTAAAACCACAGGAATGGCCGTGCATGTTTAATCGCTCTGTCCACTACTTCTAATGGAAGTTTTGCATGACCTGTGTGACTTTAAAGTTCAGCTCTTTGAGTATCCGGCCTCTGCTGGACTTTTAAACTGTGTCTCACGCCCATGCTGGCAGCACATGGCGGTGCGTCACTTTACTAAGACAGACTAACAGACTGGTGGATGTGTTTGTAAGCAAACCCACGGCGCACACACCGCTTATGGTCGTATTTATTTTCATCTGTCACATAAACAAACATCTGATGAACTCCAAATAAATTATTCCAGGTGTGAAAGTGCATCAGATTACTTGATTATAAAACATAAAACTTAAAGACTCAGTGGTGATCAGTTCTGGTCGTTTTACACACAGATGCTAAAATCCTTTTAATATTCACTCGGTGAATCCATCTGAACTAAAACTCCATCACTGTGCTGTAGTGTCAGCTCTATCGCTCTTCATCGCTTTCCCAGCACCAGCTTCGTCTTGATGACCTTGGGCACGTGCCGTATGGTCAGAGACACCCTGGTGCCTCGGTTCAGCTCCTCACCCGGTTGTGCCCCGGCGGCAGACAGGTTCACCACCTTCTCGGTCAGCGTGTCCTGCTCGCGCCCCTGGATACCGTGAAGGAGGCGCTGGTACATTTCATCCTGCAGGATGAGAAGGCTTCGTGGCCTTACCAGAAGCGAGAACAGGAAGCGGCTCTCCGCTGTCTGCGGTGCGGCACCCTCAGTGCTGCTGAGCGGTGTATAGAAGTCCAGCAGGGTGTGAGAGCCCAGGCTGATGGTGGTGACGGTGGGGTGGTACAGCGGCCCATCCTCGTGGGGCATGATCCCCTCTCCTGGTTTATACTCATTCACCAGCACGTGATTGGCCGTTTTCCCACTGAACGCGCCCAGAGACGAAATCTTCTCACAGTACGTCTGGAGCCAATCGGGAAGCCGCTCTCCCAGCATGCCTTTGGGGTGTGGTAACCCTCCCCAGTTCTGGAGCCTCCGGCCCGACAACTGAGTCCACTTAGTCTTTGGAGACCTGTAGACCTGCTGGAGGAGGTACGACTCCTCGTCCTCAGATATGAAATCTGGAACACAATACGCTGTGGGCGGAGCTTCGCTTACGACAAACTGCTTCAACTCCTCCAAAATACATGCTGGGCGCTCCATGCCTCCTTAAGAAAGTTAACATGAAACTCATTAAAACCCAGAAAAAATAAATAAAAATAATAAAGCAGTCTTTCTGTGGTTCACTAATATTTATATTAAATTAAACTAAAAAAAAAAAACTAAGTTTATTAAAATGAATTAAATAAATTTATTTTATTTTAAAAAGGTACATTTTCAGTTATTTTTATACTAAATTAATAAGAAGTAATGAATACTCTCTGCTGCGTTCCCATGTTTTTTCTCTAAAATTACAATTGAGATTTATTTCCCCTTAGACTTAAACTTACTTTAAAATTCAGATTTTTATTCATAAAATGAATGAAATTAAAGTTGTAAACTTGTGAATTTTAATCTCTGAATTTCTGTCCATAGAGTTAGAAAAGCCTTTTTTTTTTAGATCCGATGAATTTTCCTCTCTGTGTCCACAGCCCATCATACACGGAGCTTCACTCAGACTGAATGATCATTAAAACCTCTCACTCACTCAACAGCAGGCTCTGCCTTTTGTTTGTTCTGCAGTTAAAAACAGAAAAATTCGAGAAAAACAAGAAAAAGAAACACGACGCTGCCTTTAAAGTCGCGGGTCACGCGAGCTCCAGTGTCGTAAAAACTTTTTTCTCGACATCCAAATCCGATGATTTTTGGTCAGCAAAAACCAACAACACCAAGCTTTAAAGTTAGTGTGCGTGTGTGTGTAATTGCTCGTTAAATTAAGTGCTAAAACGGCGCTGTGTGCGTTTATGACTCCGTGAAAGAAAGATAGATAAATAATAGTTTTATTTAAGTCAAATAAATTCTTATGAATATTGTGCCTTTGTAAAAGAATTCCTACCTTTCACATTAATATCGGTTACATTTTTTATTTCTTGAATTATTTACCGCAAGACAGAAATCCGACATTTTGTGTGGCCCCAAAGGCAACGCAAAGGCAAGTTTACTGTACGGAAACGGGCGATTTTAAAAAGAATTCCGGGTTTAGAGGCTACTCGATACCTGCAGGAACTCTAAAAACGGCACACTGCGACGGAGAGCATGCAGAAGAACCTGATTTACCTGGTTAGACATAAATAATCTGATGAAAATTCCGTTTCTTCAGGTAAAATCCCAACAGCCCGACGCCATCCGCAATAACGCGTTTGTGCACCGAAATAAAATGTCCGGAAGAGAAAGAAGCGTCGACTTTTTGGACCTGTGCCTTATTTTTTCGAAATACGTTTTCTATTATTGAGTTTATAGAAATGTTTTAAGTAGTATTAATGCCAAATTTGTTGATTCGCCTTTTTGTTGTCAGTTTTGTGTTTTTAATCACAGAGTTTGGGGTAGTCGGAATTATTTACATGTAGCACAGCGAGACGAAGCAGGACAGAAACTTGTGTTAACCCACGTTTTTCTGGACAGATACAGTTGTTTATCATGCTTAGTGAAATCTAAGAACTTATTCATGGCTTACCATTATATTAGTTTAAAGTCTGGAGGAACTGCTGTGAAGTCACCCTGAGGTTTTACCTGCCTGTCCTCACAGGTGTGACTAGTTCGGGAAGATGTTCCGCAGTAAAGTGAAGGCTCTGAGGCTGCTGCAGCTCGGATACACACTCCGTCACACTGCTTCCTGCTCTAGGCTGGTTCTGGGCATCGAGACCAGCTGTGATGACACGGGAGCGGCTGTGCTGGATGAGACTGGCGCCATACTGGGAGAGTCTCTGCATTCACAGAAGGAGGTGCATCTCAGGTAGGTGTCAGAGGTCAAGGTCACTGCTTGTTAGGGGCTGTAAAAAACTGGCAGCGATCGTCATAGATAAACAGAGTAACCTGACATGCTCTCAAACCTGCAGGACTGGAGGCATCATCCCTACCGTAGCCCAGCAGCTCCACAGGGAGAACATTGAGCGTGTGGTCCAGGAGGCTTTGGAGAGGAGTGGCGTGGCCCCAAGCCAGTTGGCCGCCATCGCCACCACAGTGAAGCCCGGGCTGGCCCTGAGCTTGGGTGTCGGGCTTGAGTTCACTCGGCAGTTGGTGAGGCGGCATGACAAGCCATTCATCCCCATCCACCACATGGAGGCCCACGCCCTGACTGTGAGGATGCTCCAGCCCGTCAGCTTCCCCTTCCTGGTGCTGCTCGTGTCCGGAGGCCACTCACTCCTCGCTGTGGCCCGGGGAGTTGAAGACTTCCTGCTTTTGGGTCACGCTCTGGATGAAGCTCCCGGAGATACTCTAGATAAAGTGAGACCGTAATGACATACAAAACTAATTTACATGTTTAGGACAGACTAGAATCCCGTTATTTGTAAGGGCCTGTGGTCACTTTGTTAAGAAGTCCCAAATTTGAGACTAAAAACAGCGTTCATACACAACCCCTGATGTTCCAGGTGTGTCAGTGCAGCGCAGAGGGTGGTATTGACATGTTAGTCCAGGGTGGCAGGAAGTGAAGATGTGTGTCATGACCTTTACAAGCATTTCATCAGAGCGGGGCTGAGAGCTACAGGTCTGAGGTCATTAACCCGGCCTTTGTAAAGTTATCAAGGTGTCGTCCACATGATGAATTAGTTTTGTGACATTGCCACACACACCTGTGGGGACCAGTTGGCATGGTGACTGCAGACTGAGAAGTGTTAGAGACCCTGCTGTCTGACAGACTCAGATACAGGGAGACAGATTAGGATTTGGGATCCTGGAGAAGGAAGTCCACAAAATCAAAAGCACAAGAAGTTGAGAAAATCTTTCACTTCCAAAAAACAAAATCCTGATTTTTCATGTCCGTAGTGTGTTTTACATAAAAGTGATCCAGGATAGGGACCACTGGGGAGGCTGGGCTCAGGAAGGATCAATGAGAGAACCTTGAGTCCTTTCACAATAAGAGCAATACTGAAAATCAGACGAAAAATTTTTTTTCAGTCTTCATATATAACCATTGGGGTTATCTTTACCTCCCCAATGGTTATTCATATTCCATTAAATGATAGCTTTTTGTAATTTTACACATTTACTTCTTACAATTTAAGCTCAAAGAGACGTGCTGACAGATTTCTCAAGATATTTCATTGATTAAACGTGTAGTTACATTTCTGTATACTTCAGCAAGAGGTGTTTCACTGGTCTAGCCCACATGAGATCAAAGCAAGAGAGTTGCTGGAAGTTTGAGAAACATCAACAGCCTCAGTTCTTTATGCAGATGAAACTTTTTGTGACCTACAGGTGGCGAGACGTTTGTCCCTCGTCAAACACCCGCAGTGCTCCTCGCTGAGCGGAGGCCAGGCCATAGAGCTGCTCGCTCAGGACGGCGATAGGACGAAGTTCTCTTTCAGGACACCAATGGGACAAACGCACGACTGCTGCTTTTCCTTTGCTGGACTCAGAAATCAGATTACGATGACGATAATGAAAAAAGAAGCAGAGGAAGGTACGAGCCCCGTTTCCCCCATAACGCCTGCAGCAGCGATTCACCTCTGACTTTTAGGCTCTCCTCCCCTCCCTCTGTAGGTGTGGAAGAGGGGACACTGCTGAAATGTGTGAATGATATTGCAGCTGCCGCTCAGCACACCGTCGCCGCCCACCTGGCGAAGCGCACACACCGCGCCATCCTGTTCTGCAAGGCAAACGGCCTGCTGCCGCCGAGCAGCCCCACCTTGGTGAGTTTGCTGGGATATCCCCACCCACCTGCAGCCAGTCAGAAGAAAATTGTCTCAAAGAAGGATTATTTTGAACTGTGAATCATGCAAAGCTGAAATCTTTAGAATGGTTTTAAAGCTTCCTGAGCTTAAAGTGCTTTCACCTTAACTTTTCTTTCTATAGTCACATTCACCTTTCAGTCACAGGATCATTACTTATTATACCTTACCTTATTTTGTCTCATGTTCACTGGTGGATGTTCATATTAAACAAGATCTAAATTTCTGGTAATGAGGTCGGTTTCTGTACAAACGATCCTCGGGAGCCAAAGATTTCTTCCATAGATTTAATAAACATGTCTCTGTTTGTGCTGCTTTCTTATAATGTGTTCACAGTGAAAAGAATATAAAGTAAAACTAGTCCTTTACTTTACATTGATTTACGTTTAGGTGCTTTCTGGGGGAGTTGCGAGCAACCAGTACATCCGAAAAGCTCTGACGATTGTCACGGAGATGACCGGTCTGCATCTGATCTGCCCTCCTGCAAAGTTCTGCACTGACAACGGAGTGATGATTGCATGGTGCATTTACTGTCCTGTCAGCCAATCGGATTTAATTTCCTTAGATTAGGATGAGAAAAACATTTTCCTTAATTTTTCATTTTTAAAACTAGGAACGGCGTGGAGCGGCTGAGAGAAGGAAAAGGGATCCTGGCTCCAGATGTTGACGTTTGCTACGAGCCAAGGTCAGTTTATTTATTCACGAGGTTTATTTTATTGTTCTTTTAAGTTTTCTTTCTAAAGTGTGTGTCGTCCCCGTCCCCCCGGTTAAATCGACACTGGCTCATTGATGCTGTGTTGCAGGGCCCCGCTGGGCGTTGACATCACAGCGGAGGTGAAGGCCGCCGCAATCAGGCTGCCACACTTAAAGATGAAGATCCCAAGCTGATGTCATTGTCATTGTGATTTCCCAAAGCAGTGTATAACAGTACTGTATCTAAAAAGGACATTATACAGATATTTATTAATAAATATTTTTTCTGAAACTGGTTTTGTTAAAAAAAAAAGTATTTCTTTTATTTATTAAATTTTTTTACTTTTAAATGTGTTCATATTTATTTATAAACATTTCAGTAGCTAGATGGATATTTTTTGTCCTATTGATTTATTAGTGAGTTGGTTTTTTATTTAGGATTTTGGCACTCTCAGTCCTCCATACTAAGGAGGCTGAATACAGATTTTCCTCCTCTTCGTTCATCTGTTCCCTCTGCATACACACAAACACAGATCTGACCACACCAAGACAAAAACACAGTTTTATTATCAGTTATGTTCACTTGTGTCACAGTTCATTCTTTTACACACAGATGTTTACAGACGTGGTTTCTGAGAGAAACACTGCTGATCCGGGCAGCTGTGAGGCCCGGAGGCAGCCGGGATCCTCTGAGCTGTTTGTTCTTGTGTTCATGTTAAAAGACTTTATCACATGGCTGATTGCAGGACGTTGTGCAATCCTTCGGTTTTGGCTGAAAGTTGAATCAAAGTTCAGAAAACTTGAAGGAAAAAAAACCTTTAAATGGCAAAATATATAGTGGTGTCTGCACATTTTCACAGGTGCTGCACATATTCTTACTTTCAGACTGAACTCGAGCTCGCTCAGCTTTACTTGTTGTCTGCTTCCTAAAGGAAAAATCTGCCCTAAAACAACATTTGGAGCTCAGCCTATCCTACAAAGCAGGTAACTTTAGGTTAAAGTTGGAGGTTTTCAGCAGTTCACTTCTACCATGAGTGCGCTGCCATGGTAACCTATGCTGCAGATATGAAATCACCACCTTCTGACCAATCAGTTCTCCTGGAAATCCGTCACCATTCCTAGAAGACCTCGGAGTGCAAACAGCAAAAGAGTCTCAAGTTTTTGTCTTTATCTGATGACCGTAAGTAAAAAATGGAAATTCTTGGAAGCAAATTTATTACTCGCCTTTCTGCCTGTTTGCTACAAACAATTCAGTCAACTTTATTGTTCTGAAAGCTTTAAGATAGTATGACAGGGCGGCTAAGCCATGCACACCTTAAAGGCTTGACCTTTTTGCCAGTTTGAATTTTTTTTTCTATTTATTCTTTACTTGCTCTTAGAACATTAAACAGTGCAGGCTGCAAATGTAAGAATAAGGCTGAGACTGTGGTACGTGCATCCAAACAACTTAATTTAAAGGAATAACTAAAGAATCTTCTGTCTTAATAGAACAGCTCTGAGTTTTCAGAATTTTACTACCATACGGCTCTTTTCTTCTCACACTCTGCTGCTGTCATGTTTCCATCGGCATTTGCTGCCAGTACACCTGTGCACGTTCACGAGTGGTCAAATCCTGGCTCTTTCATGTGAGCATACTCATACCTAGACTGATAAACCCCAGGATGACTTATCGAGACGATAGCCACCTAGCCTGATTAGGAAAAGATTGCTTCGTAGAAAAAGGCCCCAGAATTTTAATCCCATTTAGTGTTTCCATGTCA